CAGCGGAGGGGACCCTGTCTGAGGCGTCCCTTTCCTTTTGAGCCTCTGTGCCCTCCTCAATTAAATGGGGAAGACAGTTCAATTTTATGCTCCTGAGGCTAAACTATGGATCGGGGTATGGCCCGCCAACCGCAGCGCATGCTCTGGTCTGGGCAAGCGGCTGCGGGGAGCCAGAGCTAGTTTTGGGAAATGACCCTGGGGCTTTGAAACCAGCATCTGCTTAGTCCCCTGGCTCAGGGCGGAACGAGCATTCCCCACCTGGACCTCAGCTCTGCTCCCTGATGCCTCCCCGACCCCCCGCCCCACCCTCCTCCCTCTAGCAGCCTGACATCCCCTCCATGAATGTCCACCTGAGTTTCTGTTTAAGAGTAGCCCTGCCCCAATCCTTTCATATCTTTTTGTTGTTGTTGTTGTTGTTGTTTTTGAGACAGAGTCTCGCTGTGCAGTTCAGGCTGGCCTTGAGCTCACTTTGTAGCCCAGGCTGGTCTCGAACTCGCAGTGATCTTCCTGCCTCAGCCTCCTGAGTCCTTCCATTTCACTGGCTTCTCAGAGGCCTCTCAGTGTCAGGAAAGCTCCTGTCCTGTCCACTGGTTGGACAGTGAGTCGGACAGCAAGCCCAGGATCGCCTACTTCCCACGCAGACTGACTTTCCTGGCAGATAGGGAGGGCTGTAGGGCTGGGCCCAGAATTCCACAGCCGAGGACATGAGGCTTGGTGACCTGCTGTCCTCTGGTTCCAGCCCTGTGCTTTTTCCTCAGGTTGCCCATCCTGCCTGAGGGGTGCAGCCTCAACTTCACCTGCCTCAGTGGTGGCCCCTGTGAGGCTGGGCCTGGCGATGCCAACTGCAGTTGCCAGGAGGGCTCTGCTGGCCAGAGGTGGGTCTGGGGGCTGGGGACGAGCAGCTGGACTGATAAGCACAGACAGCTGGGCAGGGTGGCCCCGGTCCCCGTCAGCCAGGGTAGCGGAAGTGGGGGGCTGCTTGATGTCCGTCTCATCCTCACGGGGGTTGTAGTGCCAGACCGCCCACAGCTGTCACAGCCTTTCCTTCTGGGGCATGCAAACCCGTTCTCTGCTGCGGAGCCCCCGCTGGCATTTCTGAGAGCTGGGTCCCCAGCCACCTTGACCACAGGAAGACTGAAAAATACAGTGTGGGTCTCCAGATGGAGTCAGTGTCCCTGCACACCGCCTCCCCGTCGTCCTCAGGGAGGGCCCTTCATGGTGCTGGAGGTGCTGGAGATCATGTTCAGCTCTGGCCCCTGGCGGGGCCCAGCCAGCAGTAACAGTGCTGCTCAGGGATGGCGGATGATCTTTGAGGTTTGGTTGGGGGTGGGGAACATGAGGAAGCAGTGAGGGTAGCAGCCCTCTCAGCTCCCACCCTGTCCCTCCCCAGGTGCCAGAGCCCCACCCTCCCCTGTGAAGCCAACCCCTGCTTGAACGGGGGCACCTGCCAGGCGTCAGGCGGGGTGTATGAATGCACCTGCAGCTCGGGGTTCTCCGGCCCGATCTGTGAAGTGGTGGTGAGTGGTGGCCCGGGCGCAGGCTGTGTGAACTTCAGGGAGGTGGGGTGGGGCAGGGAGTGTGCCCGGCACCTGTGGAGCTGTCCCTGGACCACCTCTGCAGTGGACGGGAGCAGCAGGAGAAGCCTGCATGTCCTGCCACCCTGTGTGGGAGGCATCTTGTCTCTAGGGAGATGTGGGGTTCCATTAGCTATCAGTGAGGCATAAGGCTCCTGGCCAGCATGGGCCAGGGGCTCCCCACGGTGCCCGGGGGAATGGCAGCAGGACCAGGTGGGATCTGCCCAGTCTAGTCTGGGCCCACGACTCAGGGCCCACAGGAGCTGGGCGCCTAGAGGCTCTAGGTGTTGCTGAGCCGGGAAGATTTGGGGAGCCCAGGGTTCTGAGCCAGGGCAGGCTTGGCAGTGTGAAGGTGTCCCTGGTGCTGGGGGGGCTCAGCCGAGGAGGGTCCTGGACAGAGGGGCCGGCACCCTGGCGCGGATTGGGCCCTGCATCGGAGGGCAGTGACGGTGCTGGCCGGAGGAAGTGAGGAAAGGTGGGCTGGGAGCAGCCTTGATCTCTGCAGGCTTCTGGCAGCTGGGTCATAAACTGCAGATCCCCTCGGATTCTGGGGAATGTTTCCTTTCAAGTTGAACTTTTACAGCCTCTGGCTTCCCCACCCACCAGTCCTCCTCTCAGGCCAGGGGCAGGAAATGGTTTTACAGCACCCCCGAAGTGCCAGGGTGGAGGCCTTCGAGGACCCACCTAGGACTGGCCCCAGCACGCCTTGGGGCCCATTCTCCAGGGCTGCATGCTGGGGCTGGGGACCCAGGTTACAGCTGGTTGAGGGACCTCAAGGTATAGAGGGAGGGCCGGTGCCGCTCAGACTCTGCGCTCCGGAGTTGTGTGACTCTGGGACTTCAGAATTCGGGGCACGCAGGCCATTGGATGAGGGCAATCTGGGGGTCTGTGACTGGAGATGGGGAGGAGGTTTGCCGAGCCCCTCAAAGCCTGGCCCTCGTCTCCCAGGGACAGCTGTCAGAGCAGCCCCTCAGGTGGGCAGGGCCTGGAGGACGCGGACCTCACCAGCAGCAGAGCTCAGTCTGCCCCCACTGCTCCCGCTCGGAGGCGGGTCCCATGGAGTCCCCTGCACAGTGCTCAGCCCGTGTACTAGACACGCCCGGAACCCCTGCCTCCTTGTCCAGCTGGAGCCCCTTAGTCCTACCATACCCCTCACCCCTATGGCTCCGCAGGCGGCTCCAGGAAGGCACCTGCTTGCACACCCCCAGGCTGGGTCTCTCGCCACCTTCTGGGGAAGCCTGCTCCCTGCTTGGGTTTTCTCTGAGCACATCCTTGTGTCCTTCCCTCCCTGCAGAAGGGCCTGCCGCTGCCCCTGCCGTTCCCGCTGCTGGAGGTGGCTGTGCCTGCAGCCTGCGCCTGCCTCCTCCTCCTGCTCCTGGGCCTCCTCTCAGGGATCCTGGCTGCCAGGAAGCGCCGCCAGTCAGAGGGCACCTATAGCCCGAGTCAGCAGGAGGTGGCTGGGGCCCGGATGGAGATGGACAGCGTCCTCAAGGTGCCACCCGAGGAGAGACTTATCTAGGTGGCCTGGCTGCCAGTGCCACACCCCGGAGGTCCTGTAGGATTTCCAACTGGAGACCCAAGGAGGCGGCTTCCAGGACCTGGGACACTCTCTGGGAGTGTCCCGTGGCTGGCAACCTCTGCTGATGCCCCATCAGGGACTGAGGAAAGGGGAACAACTCAGGGAAGCAGAGGGTGCCTCTGAGGCTGTGTGCCTCTCCACCTGACCCTCCAGGCCACCCTGGCAGGTGTATGGCGGTGTGCAAGGCACACGCGGGTGCAGGTGGCGTGGTCAGGAGTGTGTGTGCGTGAATGTGGGGGGACGTGTCAGATTCCACTGTGGGTGTTGTAGTGTGTCTCGAGGTGTGTCTGCCTCTTTTGCCATGTGGACGTGACTGTGCAGTGAGGGCAGGTGACCCCACGGTCGGGACAACCTGTGCACCCTTGGGGCAGGGGCAGCGCAAGGCCGCAAGTTCTCCAGGAGGCCTAGCCAGGGCTTGCCTGTTCACCGAGGCTTCAGTCCTGGCATCTCCCCCCACTGCCCGCGGCAGCCTCTGCCCCAGAGACCGCTGGGAAAGCAGGGAGGGCGGGCATTCAATGGGCTCCTGGCTCCCAGAACAAAAGCGCCTTCAGGCGGATCTGTCCTGCCAGTGCCAGAGCCAGTCACACGGGGAATCCCAGAGCCGCCCACCGACGCCGTGTCTGCTGGGCAGGCCGCAGGAGCAGAGGACGCTGCGCTGAGTTTCCTGCCTGGCCAGGGGTATTGGCAGATGGAGATGCCCCTGCCTACCTTGCAGAGCTGTCATGAGGATCAGAGGGGCTGTCAGCCAGGAAAGGAGGCCTGACACTGTTAAACTCTTCTGACATGAAGGCGGCACAGGTGTCCCCTCAGGTATCTGAAGTGTCATCTCCCTCGGTCAGAGGTGCGAGTGCTCCTTCCCGGGGGCCGGCAGGATGGACGAGAATCGTCCTCTCACAACTCGCCTGAGCACTCTGGTTCTCCGGCAGCTGCTCCTCCCGCAGGCTGGTCCAGTGGGCTGGCACAGGGAAGGTGCTGGAGGAAGCCCTCGCAGCTGTCTGCCAGGCACCAGTGCCCAGTGGGCACTGGTCTCGGAGCCAGTCCTGCAGCGGCTGAGCGGGGGAGGACGGTGCTCATCCCATCCATGTTCAGCACACTGCAGCCGTGGATGCCAGGGCACCTGCCCGGGGCCAGGCCTCCCTTTGGCCTGGGGAGGGGCCCTGGTGTCCTTCTCTCTCAGGCTGGCACCTCCTGTGATGTGGGCTCCAGTGCCAAGGCCAGGAGACCCTTTCATACTTCTAAGTTGGTTGATTTTCCCAGGGGCACTTCTAGAGGCGCAGCACTGGGGACTCGGGGGTCCTCAGCCTTTGTCCTTGTCCCTAGGAGGTGGGGCTGCCTTTCCGTGCTCTCTCCACGCTCCCGGGAGAGGGGAGAGGTGATGAGTTCTCCGGCTGGCTTATGAAGTCAGTGATTGGGCAACTTGTGCCAAGTGCAGGCTCCTACAAGAGGACCTCTTAGGCGGCACTTCATGAATTAACCCTGTGATGGCCACTGTGGCGACTGGTCCAGATGTCTCCTTCGTACAAGCACCCAGTGAGGCCACAGTCTGATCCGAGGCTCTGCCCGTGCTGACGAGACCTGTGGGGCTGATGTCAGGCGGTCCCCTGAACTTGTTTTTTCCTGGTGTCTGGGTGCCCTGGCACTGTTGGTGGCCTCCAGTCCTGCTCTGTGGTTCCAGCAGGACTTTGTGGATCTGTTACCCGCACACCCACGTCCTGCCTAGGAGGAAGCGAGTGGCTGGCGCCGAGCTCTGAGTGAGCACAGGCTTGGGCATGGGCTGGGGCGAGTCTTTCCCCGCCTGCCCCTCGCCTGGCCCCTCCTCCACTGGAGGGATGGTAAGGATGTCCGAGGGGGCCACCGGGGTCTCTCCTGCCCACAGCTTCCTTTAAGGACACAAGGATGCCAGCCTTTTCCCCAAGAAGATTTTATTGAGTGGACACACAGATCCTCCTTGGGTTGTGAATTCCATCCAGTGCGTGAAGAGACTGGTGCTCCCGTGAACCCGGAGTGCTGGCCACCAGCTGCCGGCACAGCCAGGGAGCCTGTGAGGTGTGCCTGCTTGCCCAGACCACCTGGCTCCTCCTCTCATCCAGTCCTCACTGGAACCTGGGCTGCAGCGCCCCGGGGCCCGGGAGGGGCCCATGTGAGACGTGGCTCCCCCGCAGCCTGAGAGCGCTCCTGACATGGGACAGACTTGTCCTGGGAACGGCTACGTGCCAGGTGGCCCAGGCCTCGCCAACCCCTGAGCAGCAGCGGTGTCCTCCCAGCCTCTCAGACATGGAGGGGACTCCCTGGTATGCTGGGGACCTCCAGAGACTCCTTTGTCCCACCAGACACCCCCCCTGAGAGACTTGTCTGACCATTCACAAATAGGAAATGAGAAATCGGGTCAAAATGCTTACAATTTCCTGCATGTCTCAGATGGTTGTTTTCTTAAATGGTAGGGCTGTTTTTAAACTCGGTTTATTGAAAAGAGTCAGTTTTCAAGATTCATCAAATCAATAAGGTAAAAAGGAAAAGAGAGATAAAAGAAACAATAACAATACATTCCAATTTAACTTTGGTGATGTTGGCCTCAGGAATTTCTCTGCTGGCGAGCAGCTCGGTGGGTGAGGAGGGGCTGGCTCTTAGGCCTCCACGTGAGTCCCGTCCACAGGGGCCTTGAGGGTCCAGGGCCGCCCGGTCCTGCCCCAGGGTGCCCAGGCCGCAGTGGCACCTCGTCGTCTATGGCCTTGAGTTGGGATCCGGGTGGTGGCTGCTCAGCTCTGCCCGTGAAGTCCCAGAGGGCAGGAGGCTGCGCCCCGTCTCTGACAGGGACAGAGGGCGGGAGAGTCGGGAGGTCCCACGGTGACACTCAGGCTGTGGGGATTTTTTTCCTTCTACTAATAGAGAGCTGCTGGTGTGCTTGGGCCCTACACAGCAATGTCTGGGGCTGGGTTTGGCCACCATGAGGGGCCTGGAGGAACAACCTGGCCCCGAGAGACAACTGGAACCCGTGGGCTGGGGTGGAGACTTACGAAGAGAGCGTATTGCTAGAGAGGGTTTGGAGACGTGCCCCGCTGGGGAGCCCTGCAGCCCGGGAAGGGCCCGCACGCCACCCCCGAGCCACCTGTGTCTCCTGCACACAGCTCGGCTTGGGGCTCGAGCTGACCGTGGGCCCGTGGGGGCAGCCTGGCTGCAGGATGGACAGAAGAGCAGGACTCCTCGTGGGCCAGAGCGTGGGAAGGGGGTGGAGGACGAGGTCTGGGGCAGTCGCTGGCCCAGCTGACTCTAGTGCAAAACCCAAGCAGGGTGCTGAGAAGGGCGTGGCGGGTGGGCACTTCCCAGGCGGTGAGTGGCACCATTCCCCAGGGCTAGAGCTCGGAGAAGAGCAGTGTGGGGGAGGGGTGGGGAGCAGGCCCCATCCCTCCCTACCAGCACACCCCAGCAGGCAGAGTCAGGGCAGAGGGCTGCCGCGGCGCTGTGCCCTCCACCTGCTCACTCGAAGGTCTCCCACTGCCTCCGGAGCTGTTCCACTGAGCTGGGGGCCGGGGCCGGGCTCACGTCCTGCTTGGTTTTCTGTAACAAATCCTCAAAGGGGTCTCTGGCCTGCGAAGGGACAGAGGGCTGCAATGCTGGCTCCAGGCCCTGGGGGGCCCTGGGAGGCAGGAGTGGGGGGTCCCCGGGCCTCAGGGCCAGCCCCTGCTTGGCCTCAGCAGCCCTGGCACTTGAGCGGGGCAGGGGCAATGTTCGGATCCTCGATGGGGCGACTGAGGGGGGTCCCAGTGGCTGTAGAGGGCTGGTGTGAGTGCCCATAGGCACCTGACCAAAGAGGTTGGGCATGGAGAGGGCGGACAGGTTGGTCTGAGACCTGTGAGGTGCGCAGAAGCCAGAACTGGACAGGAGGAGGCTGGGCGCAAAAGCCGGCCCCAAGGAAGCTGGGGGGACACCAAAAGGCCCAGCTGGTGTGGAGCCCAGGCGTAGGGTAGCGGGCGCTACTGGCACAGATGGGACGAAAGGGTTGAGAGGTGGCTGAGGGAAGGGGGCGGGGGTCCCCGCAGCGGGAAAGCTGAGCTGGGGGGTGAACGGGGTGGCCACGTTTGGGGCGGCAGGGTGTGGCGGGACGATGTCGCCTGACCAGGCTGTGTTAAGTGGGTCCAGGAGGGCAAGCAGGGCATCACTGCCCATGCCTGTAGCTGCTGGGGCGGGGCTGAGCGGCTGCAGCAGTTCCGTGGGGCCTTGGGGGGCCGCCCTGGGGAGGAGCCCCGGGAACAGGGCTGGGTTCAGAGCAGCTTGCCTCTCCCGATCTGCTGAGAAGTCCCCGAGCGTGCCGCTGGCAGCTGGGAGCTTGGCCGGGCGGGCGGTGGGTGGTGGAGGTACGATGCCCAGCTCTGGCGTCTTCCTGCCCTGTGGCCGGGGGATGGTGATGCTGCCAGGAGTGGGGGTGGGGGCCTCCTCCTTGTTGCTGGGGTTCAGGATGCTGTCCTGGGCCTGGGGCCTGCAAGGCAGGCTCGGGGAGTTGCCAAGGAGAGTCGCGGGCTTCTCAGGGGAGGTGCTGGGGGGCTTGCTGGGGATGGCCATGTCATCCTGGCCCAGGCTCCAGAGCTTGTTGTATGGGTGGGTAAGCTTCAAGGCCACCATCATCCCGAGGCTCCTCTCGCTCCTGCCCAGGTCCAGCCTCTGTGGGGAGGGAAGTGGGGGTGGTGACCATGGGCTGATGACCCAGGACAGATGGGAGGGAGAACGGGCCACTTCTACTCCCTCCTGGGTACCGGGTGGGGACTGGGACGGAGCTCGCTGGCATGTGGCCCATTAGCTCTGAGCGCTTGCAACAGACTGGAGCTCACTCCAGTCCGCCGGCCAAGGGCCCGGAGCACGCGGCACCTTGGGTCACACCCGAGAGGGCAGGGCAGGCTTTGCACCAGCTGAGGGCGCCCTGGTGGTGGAAAGAGGAGCACCAGACTCAAGTCCTGGCTGTGCCGTTTCTGAGCTGCTCAACCTGGGCAAAGTCACCCCCTGCTCGTGGCCATGCATTATGGGACCCATGGGGACAGTGCGAATTCCAGTGTGAACCAGTGACTCCGGGGCAGCACTGACAGGGGGTGGGATGCACGGGAAGTCACAGTGGGAGATTGGTGGCTGCACAGCAATAATACAGAATCCACTAGGAATTTTGACCCAAAGGCTGCTATATTATTTCCCCAGTGGGATGGGAGCAATCCCAGGTTCAGCAGGGGTCAGTGCTCACCTCTGTCTGCTCCACAAACAGAAGTGGGCAGCAGCTTTCTACCCGGGTACTAGCATCTTCTCCAGCCTCCTGTCAGGGGCTGGCTGCTGGCCCATGGGGCGGGGTCTGTAGTCAGCTGTCCTCTAAGCATTGGCTGGGATGCCCTTCCTCTGTTCCCCTACGGTGACTTGGGGGCTCTGCCTCCTGTGCAGAAGGTGCGGCAGCAGGTGCCTCCCTGGTCCATGCCATACCTGATAGTCAAAGGTCCCTGGCTGCTCTCGCAGGTCTTTGGGGGCCCGAAGATCCTCTAGGCTCTTGGCCTGGCCCAGCGGCTGCACCGGGGCCTCCATGTCCAGGTTGCTGAAGACGTCTTCCAGGAGGTCGATACTGGCCGCCCGGTCAGAGGGTACGGGGACAGGGGCCCTGGGGTCCCGTGACAGCTGTTTGGGACTTTCTGCCTCGTCACCTTCTGCGCTGTCTGACTCCTTGAGCGTCCGATATGGTTGTGGCCTGGGAAGAGACAGCAGGCTGGATTCTCCTACCCAGGGCCTCTGCTGGGGAGCAGGCAGTCCCCAGGGACCATGCGCAGGAGCCCCCGCGATGGGAGTGTCCTGGGGCCCCTGTGCAGGCTGGACCCTGGGCCGCAGCAAGGCAGTTGCCGAGAGTGACACAGATCAGGGCAGAAGCTGACTGGGCGCTGGCTCTGGGATCTGGCTGTCACGCTGGCTTTCACCAGCCCCCGGGGCCCACTTAGTTCCTTTGGAACCAGGCGTCTTTTCCTACAACTGCTGAGAAGAGGACAGGGCTGGAAGCCGGAGGGACGGGGGCAGATATGCTCCTTGTCCCAGCCTGCTCTGCCATTTGGTGACTGACAAGTACCCAGAGCCAGGTGTGAACAGCTCATGGAGAGCTGAGCTGGAAAATCCCCCAGAGGGCAGTGCCCAGCCTGCCTGAGGATCTTCTGGGGCACCTTTCGGCCTCCGATTGTGCTGACCTCTGTTCTAGCCCTGGCCGGGCTGTCTTGCTGTGGGAACTCGGGCAAGGCACTTAGCGTCTCTGAGCCTCAGCTGCTTGTGTGGGGGGGTGACCACATGAGCCAGCACAGGGTCTGGCGTGCTGCAGGCACAAGCTGGTGACAGCAGGGGAACCCGCCACCATGTGGGCCCTGTGCGGCCGCTTTCTGTGTTTCCACATCAAGACCTTGCGTGGGTGCCCGGGTGAACCTGACCTTTAGTGCAGCTTCGTCCTCTAACTGCCAGGCAGGGGCCAGCCTGAGTCGGAGCAACTGTGCCCTGGGCGCTGGTAAAGTGGAGGAGAGGCGCCACCTGCTGGCCATGAGTGGGCTCACATGGAAGGAACCAGGCCGGCGCCGGGAGGGGAGGGACTCCATCAGTGTAGCATCCGCCTCCCCAAGCAACGCCAGCAGCTCAGGAAGCCGAGCCTGCACCCCTCCTTACATGCGAGGGAACAGAAGCTCAGAGACGCGAAGTGGCTCGCGGCATCTGGCAAGAGATGGACAAGGAAGCCAAGCTGGGGAGGCTGAAAGTCCTCCCTTGCTCTGCCCGAGCGCTCTGCCCATGGAAGATCTTTTAACCAAGTGTGAACACAACGAAAGGAATACAGAAAGCCAGGAAAGGTGTTCTGGTCAACCCTTTTTCTGTTGGGGTGGGGTGGGCTGGTTCCTTTATAAACACGCACACAAAGGCCCATACAGAGCTGAGGCGAGGGCTGAGGAGGGAGCACGAGCAGTTATTTAAAGAACGGAGGCCTCCTGGGGCAGGGCCTTGGACCACCCTCTGCCTCCGGCCTTTCCCTGTAGGGTGATTTCAAGGGAACACATGGATGGATGTTTCTCATTCCAGTGCTTCTATGTTTGTTCTAATTAGTGACAGAAAGCTAACACATAAACCTACGATATCATAAAGGCTGTTGCCTAGGACAAGGCTAACTTTGAAAACCTTGAAAAGAAAAAATCTTGAAGACTCATGCACAGAAGAGGCGGCCTGCGGAGCTAGGGTAACACTGACTCAGGCTGCCCTTTTCTCACCCGGACACGGGCAGGGCTCGACCCGCCCGCAGCCAGATGAGCCGGTGGCAGGAAAGGGCTGGGGTGCTGCTCCCACAAGGCAGCACAGAGGCAGGAGCAGGGCACAGAGGGAGCCTTTCTGTGAAATGGCCAACAGTTCACTCCTTAGAAGGCCGTGGGGCTGCGGGCATGTGGTGGAGGGCAGCTCCCGGCCCTTAAGGCTCCCGATACAAACATCTGTGTGACTTTGAAAGAAAAAACAAAAAACCAACCCAAAGCTGTCTCTTTGTTCAGTCTTAGCTCTGAAAAACTTGTGAGTGGAGGGGTAAGAACTAGGCACTACAGATTAATTCAGGGGTGAGCGTCGGAACCACTATTTTTTTTTTTTACAATAAGGTGAACTCTTTAAAAATAGCTTTTGGAAGCCAGTGTGGTGGTGTACACTTATAATCCCAGTACTCTGGGAGGCTGAGGCAGGAGGACTGCAAGTTCAAATCTGCCCTGGGCAATTTAACAAGAACCTCTTTCAAAACAGGGTGGAAGATGTAGCTCAGTGTGAAAGCCCTGAGTTTAATCCCCAGTAGTGAAAAAAAAGAAAAGAAAACGATTTCTGTTTGCAGCCAGGCATTGCAGCACACACTGTAATCTCAGCACTCTGGGAGGCTGAGGCAGGAAGATGTCAAATTTGAGCCCAGCCTGGGCAAATGAGCAACTTAGCAAGACCCTGTCTCAGAATAAAATAAATAAAAAACAAAAAATAAAAAAGGGCTGGAGATGTAGCTCAGTGCAAAGACTGATTTTTCATTGATGCTATTATTGCCAAAAAAAGCAGCTATTTTTAATTAGTATGGGGGTTACAGTTATAATAATAATGACAAAATTATATGTTAAAAAGCCAGGTGGGTTAGACCATTTAGATATGCTGTACTAATTAATATACATATTCTATTTGGGCATGGTGATATACACCTATAATTCTAGCTACTCAGAGGCTGAGGCAGGAGGATCATACATTTGAGATCACACTGGACAATTTAGTGAGACCCTGTCAGCAAAGAAAAAAAGGTAAAGTGCTTGCCTAGTGTGCCTGAGGCCCTGGGTTCAATTCCTAGTTCAGCAGGAAAAGAAAAACCCTCACATTTTTTCTTTTAACTTAAAGTCTGCCTTCCATCTCCATGGCTTTCTACGCCGGGACAGATAAAGTAGAGTCAGGCATCAACAGCCAGGCTCCTCGTGGCCATCGGCTCCATGAACAGTCAAGTGCACTCCCGGAGGGGGACAGGGACCGAGCTCCCGCCTTAGCCTGTGACCTCGGCACTCGCACTCCACACACCCTCCCTGCACACGAGCGCATGCAGCACCAGCCCCGCCCCCCATGCGGCCGAGAGTCACCCAGCTGAGCCTGGGGACCCAGGAGGAGGAAGGAGAGACCATTCAAAGGGAGCGGAGAAGAAAAAGCTTTCGGTGAAGCCAGCGCTCGGGGCCTCTTCCCGCTGGCATTCATCGTCAGAGGAGTCCTCGGAGAGGAAGACCGCATAGTGTCGCAAGGGCTTTACCAGGCTGGGGTGAGGAAGACAAGAGAGAAGAGAAGAGGCGGTTAGGGCACTGTCATGACTCCATGCACAGGGCAGGAAGGAGGCCACAGAGCACCGCGGTGAGCAGGCAGGAAGGAAACCGGCTGCCATCTTTGTCAAGAGCCCCACACAAGCTTGTGTACCAGTGAGCCCTGGCCTAGCAACTCCACTTCTGCTGGAAACCCTCAGCACGGCAGAGACTCTTGGCCAAAGGAGCTCATCGCCACTGTTTGCAACATTAAAACATGAAACCAGAGCTGGGGGTGCAGCTCAGCGGTACAGTGCTTGCCGATCATGTGCAAGGGCCCGGGTGGCATCCCTAGTATGGCCAAATAGATAAGCAAAGTGAAGCTTATAAATAAAAAAACCATGCAGTCACCTCAACTTTCAGCAATAGGCATCTGGCACAGTTGGCTGAATGTTACCCTCCCACTAAACATAATGGATTTGTGTGTGTGTGTGTGTGTGTGTGTGTGTTCGAGACAGCATCTCGCTATGCAGTTCAGGCTGGCCTTGAGCTCACTTTGTAGCCCAGGCTAGTCTTGAACTTGAAACAATCCTCCTGCCTCAGCCTCCCGAGTGCTGGGATTACAGGCGTGCGCCACTACGCCCCGCTAAACATAATGTTTGTGAAGGAAAACTTAGACTTCAGGATGCAGAACTGCAATGTTTACATTGCTCTCCGTATCTCTAGGCTCCACATCTGTGGATTCAATCAGTTGTGGGTTGAAAATATTTGGAAAAAAAAATTGTAACGGTGCTGTCTCCAGACCCCCGACCCCAGCCATTATATTATTTCCTAAACAACACAGTGTAGCTGTTCACACAATATTTACACTGGAGTAGATGTAATAAGCCATGCAGAGATGATACGAAGTCTCCGGGAGGGTTGCCCTGGGTCTATGCAAACACCCTGGTTCAGGCTTGAATATCTGTGGACAGTGGTACCCGCTGCCAAATCCCCGAGGGTACTGGGACAGGTCCCGCCCATCTAGGTGTGGAAAAACGCACAGGAAAAACACTGGACAGGCACGTGCCTAAATGTCAGCAATGGCAAGTGGGCTTATGGGTGACTGCCCTCACCGGCTGCTTCTTATTTTCCTACAATGAGCATACCCACTTCAGTAGTCAGGCAAAAATAAAAAAGGAAAAAAGTTCAAGAAAAAAAGTGAGCCACGTGGAAAAGCCCTCACGAGAAGGCCCTTTTCTGATTAGCGGCCGCTCTCTGGCGTCTCCCTTGGATGCTTCTTCAGAGAGTCTTTTTCATCTGTGATGTGGAAATTAAATATTCATTGTTATAAAAAATACATCTCCCTTGTCAGCCACCTGTGAGCTCTGCCTCTATAAACAAACACATACACAGCCCAGAAAAACCCCACGCCCAGCTTCTATGAATTATATACTGACCAGGGCCGCGACGGGCCACAGGCCCCAGAGAGGGGAGCTGAGCTCGCTCGTGGGTTCAGATCCCGCCTGTGTGCCGGGCCGCGGTGTCCACGCCTTCGCCCCACGCAGTGGCCTGCCCTTGCTCTGAGGGTCCCAGGAGGCGATGGGGAAGTTTGGGGAGAGAGTGGGGAAGAGTTACGGGGTGGCTGCGTGGGGCCGCTCCGCTCCTCTCCTCCCCGGCCAGCCGAAGCAGCCTCCTTCCTGTGCTTTACATCATGGAATTCCTTTAAGGTTTTCACCAGGCAGGAACACTGTACCCCCAAGAAGCACAAGAGGACACATCGCAGGAGCAGAGGAGGGACGCAGCTGCCCTCGGCACAGGGAGAGGGCACTGGGCTGCGCGGTGCTCTGCTATCACTGCTGCCGACCCAGCTGTCCCCTAGCACTGGCTCCCAGAGCCACTACAGCCTTGGCACTGTCACCAGCACCTTCTTCCCTCCCATCGTCCCTGCAGGACAGCCAGTAGTTTGTCCTCCAACTGAACAGGCTGAGGCGTCACAGGGAAGCAGCTGGCCGAGGGTCATCACCAGGAGCTTGTGGGCCACGCTGCTCTGCTCTCCTCTGTGCCCAGGCCGCTCTGATGGCTGCTGGGGATCAGACACAGCTCAACCCTTCCTGGACTAGAGCTGCATGGGCCCAGGATGGGTGCTTCTGTCTGGTCCCGGTGCAAGGGCCGGAAGATCTGACTCAGAACTGTACCTGGGGGCTGGGGATTTAGCTCAGCGGCACAGTGCCTGCCTGGCAAGCACAAGGTCATAAGTTTGATTCCCGGTACCGGAAAAACAAAAAACAACAACAAAAAAGAACTGTACCTGGCCAGCCTCGAGGCAAGGCCTGGCTCCTGTTGCTTCCGTAGCAAAGCAGGTCACCTCCACACAGCTACCAGAAGCTTGTAGAATCACAAACCCGACCCTGTCACTCCAGCTTAAAATCTGCAAATCTGCCACTGCTGCAGCCGCTGTGCGCTGGGTGAATCCAGAGTGAACGGGGAGAAGCAAGCACATGCAGGCTTGCAGGATGAGCTGGGGAGGGGGGCACCGCCACTGTCTGTGCAGGTGAGGAGAGGAGGAGGCAGTGCAGGGAGCCGCCAGGTGTGTTGGGGTTGCTCTAGCCTTCAGCATTGCCTGGGCCTCTACCTATACCTGTGCCTCTTCCCGCCTTCCCCCTGCACTTCGGCAGTGAGGTACAAGGCAGGTAGAAGCTTCAGGAAAGCGTCCCAAATAACATCCACAAGCAGGTGCTGTGCTGGCGTCTTGTGTATGTTATCCCACCCCTGCAACCCCCGAGCAGGAACACTCACTGACTAGGTTCGGGGGCCTTCACGAGTCCACCTATGCACCTGCCCACCTGTGCACACAACCAAGATGCGCTGTGCACCTCCTCGCCGTGAGCAGACCTGGCCCTAGATGAGCAGAGGGGTCAAGGTGAGAGACAGAGAGGTGACCCAATGATTTGGCTGGGAAGCGACAAATAGGGATTCCAGCCCGGCATGTCCACCTCTAGAGCTGTTCCTTTCCTGTCAGAGGGGATGGCAGCAGAGGGACATGAGAGATGCCAGCGCTGCCCAGGCCAATGTGGGAGGGTCCCAGTGGTTCGCAGCCCCACTGTGGATGCTTTTCTGACGCTTACCTAAGTGCGGCCCCCTCCTTTAGCTTTGACAAGGGAGCACAGATCACAGCTTGTGCATTAGCTGAATGCCACGAAACCTGCCAGGAATTTCCTGGATTCACAAACAGCAGAGATTGCTGGACGGCGAGGCCCCTGGCTTCATTAAGGCAGGCCGCTTAGGTGCAGGTCACACCAAAATCTGGCCACATCTTGCGCCGTGTGACGGAGGGGGAGTGAGGGTCAGGTCGGGTTGGGGATGAGGGAGGAGAGGAAGCCTCACTTTCCAGCCCACAAACCAGGTTCCGCCTCCAGCTGGCTTTCCCAGCCAGGCCAGGCTGGCTGCGGGGTGGCTTCAACTAGAGCCCAAGGGTGTCTCCACACGATCTGGTCAGAGCAGAGGTCTTTCATGTCCATACCACATGTATGGTGAGTTACGAAACTTGCAAGCATCGGGTCAAATGCTACCCACACAATTTCTAATTCCCTAAGACAGACAAAGGAGCCAAGGCTCAGACAAGAGGAGTCCCTGGCCTGGGGTCACACAGCACCCAAAAGCACAGTGAGGATCTGAATCTAGATTTGCCTGACTCTAAACCACCGTGAGATCCTGCTTTTTCAGTTTTCTGGATCTGAAACAATGAAATGAGAGGTAGGGTGTTTCCCCTTCCACTTTTAATGAAAGGTGAGATTTCAAAATAAACTTATTCAAATTCAGCTGCTCATGTTCTCCCATGAAACATATAGTCAGATATTTGTCAGAGATAAAGGATGAACCATCGAAAACGTCCAGGTTTAAATTTTTTATTAGCTTAAGGCAGAATATGGGAAAAAAAAAAATGTACCTCTTCCCTCATTAACCCAATTCAGCTACTACCCTGCAGTCTGCCACCCACCACTTGCCTGGATTTTATTACACACAAAGGGCTGTCTGTGAAAAGGCAGGTCGTGGCGAACTTGGCTACCCAGCGAGGGCTGCCGTTGTCTCGGTGCGCAAGAAAGCCTTGCTGTCCATCACCGCTCGGACCCCATCATCCCTGCGGCTGCCCCCGCCTCTGCCTGCCGTGCTCGGTGCGGAGTTCCCATGCAGATGACTCCTGAGCCCTTTCTAATGTTTGGTTTAACGTGTCGCCGGTTAGCGCGCGCATGTGACAGTGGTGACAGGCGAGGCTGTTCCTTTTTAAATACCATGTCAGAGACACGGCGTCAGGAAGTGGGGACGTGCTCTGCGCTCTCCACCGTGCCAGGACCGCACCGGCTTATTTTTTAATGAGGAAGATCTGCATCTCGAGAGTTTTTTTCATGTGTCACATCGTGTGGACAAATCAGCAGCACGTCACGCTGGCCCAAAATGAAATGCTGACAAATGTAGATATTTCAAATTTAATTGACATTTAAATGTACTTGAGATAAAGATGGGAAGAAATCAGCCAGGACCCGGTCTCCCGAGGTAATGAAGGGGAGCTGGTGATCATTTTTTAAAGGATCATTTCGCTCCAGCACAAAGGGTCTTCGCTTGGTAAATGGCTTGGTCATACCGCATCCCTCAGCGATGTGGCCCCTGCGGTGGATGAGCAGGGGGAGCCCAGGATGAGGCCGGGTCCTGCCCGCCTCGCTGATGCAAGTCTGTTCAGCTTCTCTCTTCCTCCTCTTCCTGTCCAGGGCACTTGGAAAAGTTACTTTACCTCCCTGGACCGCAGAGACTCCAGAGCCGTCCTGAAAGTCTTCTCATAAAAGTTAAAATGAAAATATTTGCAAAGGCCTTTGTAGAGTGTTTAGTGCATTGTGAATATTCACTCATTAATCCCACGCACACCTACCTGCCAACCAAGAGATCTAGGCAGGGTCAAGCTTGGATGCTGAGGGCCGAGGGAGATGGTCCCTGTCTGTCAGGGTGAGGGGCCCTCCGGTGGGGGAATGTTAGCACATGGCAATCATGAGACCCTCACGTGACTTCTCTCTACGGCCAGGATGCAGGGTCAGTGCTCCAAACCGCCCCTCAGCAGTGGGTTAAAATCTAGAAAGACTGAAGGTCTCAGGGGAATGAGTGTGGCTCAGGACCAACAGAGGAAGCTCGAGCAGCCCAGGGAAGAAGCGAGGGCTGCTGTATTGTGGGAGAAGAGCTGGAGACAGATGCTCAATAGCACGTAGACCTCTGCGCTCTGCTGTGTGTGGGCACCCACTGAACGGTGAGTGGAACAACCAAGTTGTAACAAGTCGCCATCAGAACGAGAGCCTTCTGCTGTCAGCAAACCAATGTAGGGGCAGCGGGTGAGTGTGGGAGGCCAGGTCACGCCAGACTTGCTTTACCGAGGGACAGTGTGTCGGGGGTCCTGCCCCGGCGGCTCTTAGACAAGGCTCTCTGGGAGGTGATGTGGGCGTTGGGCTTTTCACCCTGAGCACAGCGGACTGTTCTATGGCCTGCTGGTGGTACTCAGAGGACAAACAAGGGCATTGATACTGGGCTGGGGAGTTCAGAAGAGGATGGAGGGGTTGGCAGGATGAGACCCACAACCAGCACAAGGCCTGAAGGCCACAGGCAAGGCTGGGGTGACCTGAGGCCTCAAAGTGGCAGGCAGTCAGGGCAGAAAGCCCGTACTAGCTAGACACTCCCTGGTCTCTCTCCTGGGCTGGCCTTGTGCTTCGCCTTTCCTACCTTCACTTGGGCATCTATTGAATTATTTTTCAACCATTGTGTTCATTTAGTCATTCTTTCTTTCAACAAAATCCACCAACGCCAATGTCATGTGTCCAGACCCTGGCCCAGAGTGCTCTGAAGAAGTCCTTCCAGTGCACTAGATGGCCACTCACACAGGAAGAGGCCCGGGCATGCGATGTGGGCTTTGCTCTACTGCCCACGCTCTGGGGTCTATGCTGGGGGAAGGTGGGAGGGAGACATTTTGGAGGCACTTTCCTTGACCAGAAAGCGACACTGAGACTGTAGAAAAATTGTCCCCTCACCACGAGGACGGCCTCTGCCTGCTGAGGGCCAGGGCCTGTGGACTGAGCTTTGGGGGCTGTGGCAACAGTAACGGGGGTGAGAGCAGCGTGTGGACTCAGCAGCCCTGGATGCACATCTGCAGGGGGCCGGTCATCCCATGCATTAGAGTCTTGGCTCCCTCAGGGTTGGTGGGGCTGACGATGCCTGGCTGGGAAGAGTTTGGAGGTGCAGAGGGGTTAACCAAGATAATATGTGTGAGAGTACTGGGCACAATCGGCCCCTGAAAAGTGGCAGTGTAGAATCTGGCAGAGGCTGGGGTCTCTGCGGGATGACAAGGCCTTTCAGAGGTGACTGAAATCAGGAATCTCTCAAGGATGGGGGCTCCTTTTCCTAAAGCACCCCACAGGCTTGGCTTTCCAGTGGAAATATACTGTCCCACAGTGACCGCTCCTGGGAGAAGTCCTTCCTTCCAAGTGGCCAGGGTGAAGTGGTGGGGTGCAAGTGGGCCCTGTGTTTCCTGGGCTGCTGTGGATCAATG